GCGGGGCCGCGAAGTAAGGGCGGCGGGGCCGCGACGTGAGGGCGGCGGGGCCGCGAAGGTGAGGGCGGCGGGGCCGCGTAGGCAAGGGCGGCAAGGCCGCGACGTGAGGGCGGCGGGGCCGCGACGTGAGGGCGGCGGGGCCGCGTAGGTGAGGGCGGCGGGGCCGCGTAGGCAAGGGCGGTGGGGCCGCGACGTGAGGGCGGCGGGGCCGCGACGTGAGGGCGGCGGGGCCGCGACTTAAGGGCGGCGGGGCCGCGTAGGTGAGGGCGGCGGGGCCGCGACGTAAGGGCGGCGGGCTCGCGTAGGTAAGGGCGGCGCAACGGGCCGCTAGGGGCGACACGGAGGGTCGCTAAAAAAAAAAGGAAAGCGCGCCTCGGGGCGCGCTTCGGTGGGCCCTAGAAACAGTCCCTAGGAGGGGACCTGCTCTGATTCCATGTGGAAAGGAGAACGCGAATGGATGAACTATGAATGAAGTGAGTACATATAGGAAACCCTAATTGGGTTGTACCCCCTATGGGATACCCCACTATAGCCTACACAACAGCATAAGCTATATAATGTTCTGACAGTGTGTTGTCGACAAAGACCGGTGCCGTTGAAGGGCCAGCGATTGGTGCCGATGTTGTCTCTGCTGCTGCCGGTGTTGTCTCTGCTGCTGCCGATGTTGTCTCTGCTGCTGCCGATGTTGTCTCTGCTGCTGCCGATGTTGTCTCTGCTGCTGCCGATGTTGTCTCTGCTGCTGCCGATGTTGTCTCTGCTGCTGCCGATGTTGTCTCTGCTGCTGCCGATTGAATTGTTGCTAATGCTCTCGTTCTTTCTGTTTCAGGTATGGTGTGTGAATACCAGAAGCCGCCTGGACTGAAGTCGGGATCAAGATCCGGGGGATGTGTCCAGGAAGTGAAGGTCACAATTCCGTCGCTGTCGGCGGTGCCAAGATCTGGAACGAAGTCGAGGACGAAGACGTTGTTCTTCAACACAACTTTTCCGATGTAAAGTCCCACTTTCCCATGATACAGCTTGAACTCCTGGGTGGTGCTGTCTGCTTCGAGATGAATGCCTTTCGCCATCAGCTGACTGACACTCTGTAAGTTGTAGCCGAGTCCCTCCGCGATTAAGACCTTTGACATCTGTAGTATCACGTTTGTTTCTCTTGACTGGAGTTGAACAACTCCTTGCCGTCGTGTGCGCAGGTTCTGGTTGTTGGCGACGGTGATGACGACTTCGCGCTGGAGTTGATGTTCGCGTTGAATGAAGCGACCCGAGGAGCACATATGCTGTCCGCAGCAACTGTCCAAGAACCAAGTGTCTTTCCCGGACGGCTCGCTCTGGGCGATGGCTGCGTATGTCGGGTTCGGCTCCAGTGTCTCGCGGCGAGGAGTGCGTTCTTCAAGTTGTTCTTCTGGTGAGTAATACGGTGGTGATTCAGTGATGCAGGAGTCTGACAGTCTTGCCATGCAGCTCACGATGTTTCTTGCTCCTTGTGCAGATTGCGTCGTTGATGTTGTTGAGGACTGCAGTTGACTCGTGGGGTGCACCTGTGTGGACGCCACTTGACAACTTGAAGGACGAAGTTGGCGTTGCGGCGGAGTTGACTGCTGTCGATTCGGGCAGTGTGTGCGAGGATGGCCAGACGTCTTGCAGAGGTGACAGAACGGAGGTACTGGTTTCGGTTGATGCCGGTTGTTGTTGTTGTTGTAGCGTCGTTGAGTGTGGAATGCAAATTCAGGTACTGACGTTTTCTTCTTGTGTCGCTCCTCTTGCAGATCCATGTCTTGCTGCTCAGCGTGAATCTCGGCGCAAAGTGCCCCTTCGGAGATCTTCCCGTGAGCTCGGAGAATAGCTCGAGTGGAGCGCCAATGAGGACCAAGACCAGTGATGACAACTGTGACGAAGGCTTCTTCAGATATTGATCCTCCGCATCGAAGAAGTTTGTCGCGCAACTCGCGGCAGCGGCTGATATATGCCATTCTCTTTTCGCCGGGTTTCATCTCCACTGTTGTCAGCTGTGCCATTAACCGACTCTGATTGACGCTGTCTGTTGCTTGATACAGGTTCTTCAAATGGTTGTACGCGAGCTCGGCGAAGTTACCGTATCCCCGATAAGAGCGGATGTTCTGCTGCTGGTTTGGAGTTAGATTCCTCAGCAGGATCGTGTATGCCATCATTGACTGATATGTGTACTGCTGCTTGTCGTATTGCGTTCCGTGTGTTGGGTATGGTAGGGACCCGTCGAAGAATCCAAGTATCTGCGCGCCTTCCATCATCAGCTTGAATTCAAATGACCAGGTAAAGAAATCTTTACCGTCGAATGGCCTTGACGTTTGTAGTTTTAGGACGTGTGCAAACTGCGACTGAACTTGAAGTGCATCCAATGTCTTCTCTTGCTCAGGTGAAGGCTGCTGGCGCGGCATGAAGCTGACGGAACCACGCTGGGGTTCGTACTGGGCGAAGGTAGGTTGGTGTTGCTGATTTCCTCGCGCGTAGGATGAACCGTCGAGGCTCATTGGTGTCACATCGTTGTTGTTGTTGCTGTTGTTTGACTGCGCAGGTGCCCCTTGCTGGTGTTGTTCGTAGAAGGACATGAAGGAGAAGAACTTCTCCATCATGCTTGGGTCGAAGCCCGCGGCTTGATTTGCGAGAGTTTCGGTAGACCCAGCTGCTGGTCCTGTTGCCGTGCCCTCCTCTGTCTGTAGCCCAGAGGCAGGAGGTGGAGTAGGAGTAGTGCTGGGAGAGCCGTTAGAGGAGCTTCTCTCCTTCTGAGTTGCCATGTCTTCTGATGTTGTAGGTGTCTCGAAAGTAGTTGAGTTTGCCCTGATAGCTCTCATACCATGTTGGGCTGAGAAAAAGCCCTTAGGATCTTTTTGCAGGACTAAAATCTGGGTAGGAACAATGTAATAGCGGAAGCGTTTTGACAAGAAGTATTGAACCACCTTGCGCTAGTATGCGAGGGCAAAGTAGATTAATTAAAACAAGGAGATACAAGGTTTTATAAGAGTACAAGGAATATGAAGAGATACAGTTAATAACTGTTTTACTGTTGCTGTTGCGGTTCGATACAGTTACGACTCGGGCAACTGCTCTGTATCGAGCAGTTGTTTGTCCTTGCTGTCGCACTGTATTGTTAAGTCAAAGGTCGTTGACCTTTGACCTTCGCGTAACCTCTAGCATGTCGGAATAGCAGGCACAAGCTAGAAACAGGAAAGAAGGGTTTTCACTAGCAGGCAGTTGAGTACATATAGCAAACCCTAATTCGGGCTGTACTCGCTATAGAGTACCCCACTGCAGGCTAGACAAACATCACATTCTGACACACCCCCATAGTCAAAGTGGGGTAGAATCAGCACAGCAAGCAGGCAGAGCAGTAGGTTCACAAATACAAGCAAAGCTAGAGGCTATCACAGAGGGCAAGTGAGGAGGAGGAGAAACTGCGGGGGGGGAAAGATGGGAGGCGACGGCTGAAGCTGCAGACACACGGGCAACAGGAGTGCGCAGCACTGTCTCTACCAGGCTAAACCCGGGCTACACGGCGACAGGCGCAGCTAGCTCACTGTGCTCCCAGGAGTGCTCACACTGTGGCTACCGGGCGCAGAGCCCCGGACTACACGGCCACAGGGGGTCGTGGCTCTCTGGACTACCAGGAATGCTCACACTGTGGCTACCAGGCGCAGAGCCCCGGACTACACGGCCACAGGGGGTCGTGGCTCTCTGGACTTCAGGCGCTGCGGACGACAAGTCGGCTACCTCCAGTCAACCTCCCCCAACTGTCCCACACCCCTTTCACACACTCCCTGCTGTACCCCTAGCACTTCTCACACGCCACCCCCCTTGTATCACTTCGACGGCTCCAACACATCCACCCCCCTCAGCGGCAGCTGCAGCAGTGGGAGACGGAGGAGGAGGAGGAGCAGGGGACGGCGCACACACCCGTCACCCCCATACTCGCCACCCCCACACTCGCCATCCCCAAACCCTAACACAGGCAGCAGCGGGGGGCGGTGCGCGGGCAGCAGCTCGGGGGATGGCGCGCGACTCGGGCAGCAGCTGGACGGGCCGCGCACGGGCCTGGCGCGGGCCGTACGAACCGCGCGCGGGCTGCCTGGGCCGCGCGTGGGCCTGGCGCAGCCCGTACGAGCCGTGCGCGGGCCTGGCGCAGGCCGTACGGGCCGCGCGCGGGCCAGGCGCAGGTTGCGCGGGCCGCGTCGGGCGACGGGGGGCGACGCGCGGGTCTCCGAGGGCGTGGCGGCGGGCGACGGGGGCGACGCGCGGGTCTCCGGGGGTGCGGCGGCGGGCGACGGGGGCGACGCGCGGGTCGACGGGGCAGGAAACCGCCGCGCGCTCCCGGGGCGCGCGGCGGGCAGGGCAGAAAACCGCCGCGCGCTCCGAGCGCGCAGCGGGAAGAAAAAAAAAACGCCGCGCGCCCCGAGCGCGCGGCAGGCAAAAAACGACGCGCGCCCGAGGCGCGCGATAGGCAGGACAGCAGCGGAAGCTAACGGTGGGCCCATCCACAGGATCGACCCAGGAGGGTCGACCTGCTATGATAGCATGTCGGAATAGCAGGCACAAACTAGAAACAGGAAAGAAGGGTTTCCACTAGCAGGCAGTTGAGTACATATAGCAAACCCTAATTCGGGCTGTACTCGCTATAGAGTACCCCACTGCAGGCTAGACAAACATCACATTCTGACATAGCGGTTACTTCAGTCTTCAACCTCCGATGGTTGACTCGCCGATGCTTCGTTTGTGCTTCGCTTCGTTTACGACTTGGTGTTTCGACACAGCAGAAGCGCTTAAATCACTTGTTCCCAGCGGGTGTTGTCGACTTGTCTCCAGATTAGAGAAGCATGTAAAAGGTTGTGCAATACAGTGCACGCCTCACAGTACGTTTCGGCTGACAACTCAACAAAACCACCAAGTCTCAAAAGAAGGAAAAAAAATGAAACAAACAAAACAAAACAACACAAACAAACCATCTACAAAACACACTTCTTTGCAATACAACATTAGCGGTTTTGGAAGTTAAGCTTCTTGATTGAGAAAGCGAAGACGGTAAAGAAGAGGATGATGAATCCGACATTCACGAGCACAACATAGCCGAGCCACGAGTGCTGGTAGCCAAACACCTCCTCCAGATACGCCTGCACCGTTGGGTCCGGGGTCACCCCTGGCACCTGCAGGGTCGTCGTCACATCTCCCAGCTGTAGTTGGAAGGGGTCACGGGAGGGAGCGGGGGGCAGAGGGAGGAAAGAAGAGGGGGAGGGGGGATGAGCGGGCTGTGCATGGAGCAAGCTAGGCGGGCTGGCAGTGCAGAGTGATTGAAGAAAGGCTGAGGTTGGTGAGGTGGTGAGGGGAAGATAGAGGTGAGTAGTGATGCAGCATGGATTCAGCCATGGGAACTCATGCAGGGGACAACAATGCAGGGGCTGCGCGCACATGGCAGGGAAAGTGCAGTGTGCAGTCCAGCATGAGCAGCATTTGCAGTGATGAGGGGAAGATAGAGGTGAGTAGTGATGCAGCATGGATTCAGCCATGGGAACTCATGCAGTGAACAACAATGCCGGGGCTGCGCGCACATGGCAGGGAAAGTGCAGTGTGCAGTCCAGCATGAGCAGCATTTGCAGCTCGGCATGTAAACGTGTTGACTTTTGAGTGGACTCAAAAAGTCAACTCATGAGCAGCTCGGCATGTAAGCATGTTGACTTTTGAATAGACTCAAAAGTCAACTCATGAGCAGCTCGGCATGTAAGCGTGTTGACTTTTGAATAGACTCAAAAGTCAACTCATGAGCAGCTCAGCATGTAAGCGTGTTGACTTTTGAATAGACTCAAAAGTCAACTCATGGGCAGCTCGGCATGTAAGCGTGTTGACTTTTGAGTGGACTCAAAAGGCAACTCATGAGCAGCTCAGCATGTAAGCGTGTTGACTTTTGAATAGACTCAAAAGTCAACTCATGAGCAGCTCGGCATGTAAGGGCATGTTCCTACGGCCCCCTAAACCCCAAAACCCTCGCTACTTTTACCAGGCAAGGCTGACAAGAGGTTTGCCTGATAAGAGCGTAGGAACATGCCCTAAGCGTGTTGACTTTGAGTAGACTTAAAAGTCAACTCATGAGCAGCTCGGCATGAAAGCATGTTCACTTTTGAGTAGACTCAAAAGTCAACTCATGAGCAGCTCGGCATGTCAGCGTGTGCTGCATGCATGTTAAGCAGTTGGATGCTGCAAAGTAGGACCAAGAATGACCAAGCCAAGTGTGTATGCACCATGTGCGCAGCACTTGTGCAGCTTTTGTGCAGCGTGTGTGCAGAGTGTGTGCAGCGCGTGTGCAGCGCGTGTGCAGCGTGTGTGCAGCGTGTGTGCAGCGCGTGTGCAGCGTGTGTGCAGCGCGTGTGCAGCGTGTGTGCAGCGCGTGTGCAGCGCGTGTGCAGCGTGTGTGCAGCGCGTGTGCAGCGTGTGTGCAGCGTGTGTGCAGCGTGTGTGCAGCGCTTGTGGAGAAAGGGGCATCACCTGTGAGGCGTTGAGGCCATAGAGGGTCCAGGAGATGGGGTCGATCCAGTAGGCCCACCGCCACCACACCGGGATGTGCTGCAGTGCATGGGGGCAGGCGAGGGTTGCAAATGGATGGCTTAATTCACGTGAACTAGGTGGCACTTCCTAGGAAGCAACATTTATACTGGAAGGACGAGGGAGAAGCAAAATATGGACATGGTAGTGGATGGAAGCACAGCAGGAAACAGAGAGCTGAGGGATGAGAAAGCACTCACGGGTCGCGCAATGAGGAAACCGCAAAGAAGGTTCCAGGAGGAGACGCAGAAGCTAGAGAAGACCATGGAGATCTGCTCGTTGGGCGAGATGGCGATGGCCATGAGGCCGTAGCACGTGAAGTAGAAGAGCGTGAGGAACATGAAGAGCGTGTACCACCAGAACTTGCCGGCCGTCCACTCAAACTGGATCATCGCGTACGTGATCAGCGAGTAGATGAACGTCTGCACCAACACATACGGCACCTCGATCGCCCCCTGCGCCAGGGCGTACGGGATGGCACCATACAGCCCTGCGGCGCGCTCGCGGTAAAAGACGGTGCGCTCGACGGCGACGATGGGCTGGATGGAGGCGGAGTTGTTCCACCCCATGAAGATGGCCGCCGTGTACATGGCGCCCATCAGGTTCAGCACCTGCTGCTGCGTGCTGCGCTGCTGCCCCTGCCCGCAGTACACGCCTCCGATCAGCAGCGCCATGACAACACTGGAAAAGTATCTCATCGCGTTGTAGTCCGGCGCACGCCAGTACATGTGCGCGCGCTTCCACAGGTTAGCAGTGTACTGCGACGCGTAGCTCCGGGCGTACTGAGTGGCGAAGGCGAGGTCCTGCTGGCCCGGCGGGGGCGTCTTGAGCGACTCGATGAGCGCCTCGTTGCGGCGGAACTGGTCTGATTTGCGGAAGATGTCGGCAAAGTCGAGGTTGAGTTTGTCGGCCATGGCGGGCGTGGAGATGTCGAGCATCCACGTGGCTGGGTTGTAGCCGGCGGGGAGGGGCGGCACGCCTGGGATGGCCTGGAAGTAGTCTATCATGAGCCGCGAGTCCGTGCCCAAGGGGCCCATGTATATCACCTCGCCTCCCCGCTTCATCAGCAGCAACTGTGGGGCAGAGGGGTGGGGGGATGGGAGGAGAAGAGAGGGAGGGAAGAATTAGAAAGGGAGGGAAAAAACACCATAGAATCAAGAAACAACACGAGAACAACACGAGAAAGGGAGGGGCGAGATGGAGAGTTGGATGGAAGTGCAAGTGAGAAATAAACTGATGCACTTGAGGGCCACCAACTTCCATCGCACGCACCTCATCAAAGGCCTCAAAGATGTCGATGCTGGGCTGGTGAATGGTGCACACCACCGTGCGCCCCGTGTCCACCGTGTTGCGCACGGTGCGCATCACAATGGCCGCCGCCCGTGCATCGAGCCCGCTGGTGGGCTCATCGAGGAAGATGATGGAGGGGTTGGCGACGAGCTCGACGGCGATGGTGAGGCGCTTGCGCTGCTCCGTGGAGAGCCCATTGACCCCCGGCAGCCCCACCATGGCGTCGCGCAGACTATCGAGCTCCACCAGCTCCATCACCTCCTCCACAAACTCCTCCCTCACCTCCACGTCCACATCTGCCGGCAGGCGCAGCCACGCGGAGAAGAGCAGGCTCTCGTGCACCGTCACCTGCGGCGTGTGAATGTCGCTTTGCTCGCAGTACCCCGCCACGCGTGCAAACGTGGAGTGCACCTTGGGGAAGCCCGACACGTGCACGTCCCCCTCAATATACCCGCCAGTTTTCCTCCCCGCCAGCACGTCCATGAGCGTCGTCTTGCCCGCGCCCGACACGCCCACCAGCGCTGTCAGCACTTTGGGGCGGAAGGCGCCCGACACGTTGCGCAGCAGCTGCAGGCGCGCGTCGGGGGGGGCGCCCTCGGCGCGCATCTCGGCGGGCATGTTGACGAAGTAGTTGACGTTGTGGAAGGAGAGCGAGTGCGGCGCGAACGGCAGCACCATGCCGTGCTTGCCCTCCGTGGACTCGGGCTGTGACTCCACGTCTGGAAGGGGGGATAGTGCGTGGAGCGGTTTTGAAGCTGATCCAGGACACTCAACACCACTCACATTCACCTCTACCTAGACCTCTACAACCCCTTACCTTTGGCCCCTGTGTGGCTGGTGCAGTAGCGGTCCAGAGCACTGCCAGCATCCTGCCGGGTGGACCGCTTCCTGTTGCCGCCCGCTGCAACCACCACCTCGCCCGTACGGGCGGTGTGCTTCGCCTCTATCTGCTCCTCCGACACCACTGGCTGTGGCCGGTCCCACGCTGCCGAGGTGAACAGTAAAAAAATGGGGGATGGGAGGCGGGGGGAGAGGTGAGAGAGGGCAAGGAAGGTGTGCTTCGCCTCTATTTGCTCCTCCGACACCACCGGTTGCGGCTGGTCCCATGCTGCAACGATGCGCAGTCAAAAGGGGGTGGTTGGAGGGGGGGAAAGGGGGGTGAGAGGGCAAGAGAGAAGCAAGCAATAATGGGGGGGACGGCATGCTTCGCCTCTATCTGCTCCTCCGACACCACCGGCTGCGGCCGGCCGGTCCCGCGCTGCACACTGGCAGGGAGAGGCGCACAGGAGAGAGAGCAGCATAAGAGATCAAGGGCTCAGGGTGAGTCGGTGCGTTGGGGTGAGTGGTTGATGCGAGTGTGGTCCAAGCCGGAAGCCTGTGGCAAGAGAGCAGAGTGGAGAATCACCGAGGGCATAGCAGCAGCAGCACCACCACAAGCATGGGAGGTTCACAGCTTATACAACGAAGAGAAGCAAGGGCGAGCAAGGTGAGGAGGTTGTAGGAGTAGGATGGAGCCAGACTGCTGAAACGAGGAGAGTCAGTGTTGAAAGCTTACGATCAAGATAGGCGAGCGCGGCAACAGTGAGGAGGTTGAAGAGCAGGATGTAGCCGATGAGTGCCGCCACGCCAATGCCGACCCACTTGTCGTCCGCTGGGATCGAGCGGCTCTCCAGAAACACCTGCCCCATGGTGGCTGAGGGGGGGAAGAGCGGCCCTGCGGACTGCAGAGGGGGTACACACATGGGAAGGAGGACAGGGAGGCGATGAGGAAACATGAGCAGCTCTGTAGCATCATGTGGGCCATGGTGGCCGAGAGGGACATGCGTGGAGCTGCAGACTGCACACAAGGCTGCAGGCGCACACATGGCTTGGCGCACACGTGTGTGTGTGTGTGTGTGTGGGTGTGTGTGTTTGTGCGTGTGTGTGTGTGGGTGTGTGTGTGTTTGTGTGTGTGTGTGTGTGTGCATGCCAACAGTTGCAGATGGGAACCCCACATGCCAGCACTAGTAGCCGAGGGGATAGGAATCCCAGGAGCACTCACGACGTTCCAGCGGGGGGCGAGGAACTCGTTGACAGCGAGGGCGTTCTGCGCGTACATGAGAGGCGAGAGCCAATACGCCCAGATCCACACGTTGCTGATGTCGGCTGTATAAGAGGGGAGAGGAGGGAGAGGTAGAGAGGAGGTGGGAAGGGGGGGAGAGGATTGAGTGGAGAGTGGTGCGGAATACACGTGCCATGGATACATGTGTTATGCATACTTATGACAAGGGTGCGCTATAAGAGCGTCTCACGCACCTTTTGCGATGACGAAGCCGCCCATGAGGACGAAGAGGATGTCGGCGAATGAGCCAAAGGTGGTGGAAACCACCATGTTGCGGCCCACCGCTCCTATGAGGCGGAAGAGGGAGATGGAGACCTGGTGGATGAGGAAGAAGAGCAGCATCTGCATGAAGAACCTGCAGTGGGAGGAGGGCAAAAGGGGGGGAGGGGAAAAGGAAGGAGGCAAAGGTTGTGGAGACCACCATGTTGCGGCCCAGCGCCCCTATGAGGCGGAGAATGAGAGCTGGTGGATGAGGAAGAAGAGCAGCATCTGCACGGCGAAACTGCAGTGGGGGGTGGAGGGGGAGCGGAGGAAGGAGATGGGAATACGGGAGGATGGATGACGAGAAGATGGAGTGGATGGAAAAGAAGATCAACGGCAAGAAGCTGCATGTGTTAAGAAGCTGTGGGAGAGGATGGGAAAAAGGAGGGGGGGAGGGAAGGGAACGAGCAAGGTGTGTGAGGAACATGACGGTGGGTGAGGGAGGAAAGGACCATGAGAATAGCGGAAACGAACTCAGCACCCAACCACCTGGCCAATATTGCACTTAACTGCCCGGTTTGTCCACTCACCCCCGCCCGGTTCGTCCACTCACCTGCCCGGTGCGTCCACTCACCCGCCCGGTTCGTCCACTCACCCGCCCGGTTCGTCCACTCACCCGCCCGGTTCGTCCACTCACCCGCCCGGTTCGTCCACTCACCCGCCCGGTGCGTCCACTCACCCGCCCGGTTCGTCCACTCATTACTTGATTCACCCACTTCATCCACTCACCTGCCCGGTTCGGGTGCGAAGCCAATGCCATAGTACGTAAAGGTGGTCCAGATGATGGACGCCCACGCGGAGAAGGGCATGGAGAGCAGCTCGAGAGGCACGGCCCACGCCCACGCAGGGTACAGAAACGCGTCCCTCTGGCGGTAGAACACCGGCAGGCGGAAGTTGACCAGCGGGAGCTCCGTGAATCCATTGAAGAGCATCATGACCACACCGAAGAATGTGGCTCCGAGGTAGTAGTTGGCGTCTTGCAGGGAGACGGTGAGCGTGGTGCGGAAGAAGGCGGTCATGGCGACGAGAGCTACAAGGATGATTTGGATGGTTTGGGCTGCGTAGAGGATGGAGTTGCGCTGCATGAGAAGAAACTCGCGCGCGAAGACTGCGCGGAACATCTCGGAGGTTGGGAGGGTGTGGCGCTTGTGGACGAGTGCGCCGGGGGGGCTCTTCTCCTTGGGGTAGGGCACCTGGTGGGGGGATAAGGTGGGATGGGAGATGGGGGTTGGGCGCATAAGCAGATACTCGCGCGCGAAGATTGCGCGGAACTTCTCTGAGGTAGGGAGGGAGTAGCGCTTATGCACCAGTGCACCTGGAGGGCTCTTTTCTTTTGGGAAGGGCACCTGTTGGGGGAGGGGATGGGGGATGAAGGATGGGGAAATAGGAGTGGGGGGGTTAATAAGGGTGGCAGGAGTGCCAAAGCTGTGGGGCTGAGGGACAATCGTGGGACTAAGGGACAAGCATGGGGCTAAGGAGGAGAATTATGTGCGCAAATCAGCAATCGGTACGCACCGAGAGGTGGGCAGCAGTGGCCTTGCCGATCTGCGTCTCCTTGAACGCCGCCTCAAACGCCTGCACCGGCACATAGTGGTACGGCTGGCTTTTCCCGCCCACCCCACCATCTGCCCCAGCCACTCCCCCCTTCCAGTACTGCCCCTGGTCCTTCATAGAAGTCACCTCCTGCAGGAAATCCGCCTCGCCCTTCCTCTCGGGGCACTCAAAGCCGAGCTGGTTGAAAAACGGCACGACCTGCTCCCGGGGCCCGTGGAAGACGACGTGGCCCTCGGAGAGCAGCAGCACGTCGTCAAAGAGCTCGTAGGTCTCGGGGGCAGGCTGGAGGAGAGCCACGAGCGTGGTGGCGGAGTGGAGGTGCGTGAGGTGGCGCAGGCAGCGCGTGATGAGGAAGGTGGTGGAGGAGTCGAGGCCCGTGCTGATCTCGTCCATCAGCAGCACCTGCTGCCCGCCCACCAGCGCCACGCCTGTGGTCACGCGCTTCCTCTGCCCGCCTGAGATGCCGCGCAGCATGTTATTCCCTACCACAGTATCTGCACAGATGTCCAGGCCTAGAATCTGACACGGGGGGGAGAGGGAAGTGGGGGGGGGGAAGCGGTGGGAGCAGGGAGAGTGAGTTCAATTTGCGGCATGTTAAGCACTCTCCCATTACCTGACCACGTGGCATGACTGTGAGACAGTCTGAGAAATAGCTCGTTTCAGAAACCTTTACACCTGATAATTTCTAAACATGCTACCACCTATCCTGTCTGTCATCACCATGAGCATGAGAAATAATATGCTGGCTGCTCACAATGAGCACATAGCCTCACCTCACCACCATGCTCACCACCATGCTCACCACCACCCCATGAGCCTCACCTTGAGCACATAGTCTGTGATGATGTTGGTGGGGTTGCCCTCCAGTGCCATCGCCTAGCATGGAGAGAGGTGAAATGGGGGCCGGAGTAGCATGGAGGATTAATAGTGATATGGACAGCAAGGGATGGAAGACACGTGGCATGTGGAGCACCAGGGGTGAAGGCAGGCAAGCAGAATATCAACAGAGTGAATTCCCACACACACCGAAATGTTCACCCGATATCACAGCACCATACGCTCAACAGCGCACGAACACACTACCCACCTTCATGCTGCCATGACAGCACCTCACCTTCATGCTGCCATGACAGCACCTCACCTTCATGCTGCCATGACAGCACCTCACCTTCATGCTGCCATGACAGCACCTCACCTTCATGCTGCCATGACAGCACCTCACCTTCATGCTGCCATGACAGCACCTCACCTTCATGCTGCCATGACAGCACCTCACCTTCATGCTGCAATGACAGCACCCCACCTTCATGCTGCCGTGACAGCACCTCACCTTCATGCTGCCATGACAGCACCTCACCTTCATGCTGCCATGACAGCACCTCACCTTCATGACGGCGTCCATAGTAGGGTCCGGTACAATGCCCTGCTCCGCCTCGCGCCTCTCCAGCTCCGCCACTAGGTCTGCGCCACCAGGGGGTGCGGGGGTGAACGGGATAGAGAAGGGGGAATGTTGGGGAGAGGGGGGGGTGGACGGAGAGAGGGAATGGAGGCTACGGGGATAGCTGAGTGGGGTGAAACCGTGAGAGTATTAGTGGAAGAAATAGAGAGAAAAGGCCAGCGGAAATGGGAAATGGACTCAAACACAAAGAAGAACCCTCTTTCCCACGCACATTTTGGCAGGCCCGGACCCTGCAGGCACGCAGAGGAGTCTGCACAACCCCCCTAACCTAAACCCCAGCGCAACCCACCCATCCAGAAGCCCACCATTCTTCCCCCTCCCAACAGGCGCACACGCGCACCTTTCCTGAGCCCCGGGCCCTGCAGGCGCGCGGAGAAGTCGAGGGTCTCCCGGACGGTCATCTCGCCGATGTGCTCGTCGTTCTGCGGCACGTACACTGCTGTGCGCTCTGGTACGAACTCGTTAAGAGCATGCCCGTTATAGGTCACGCTGCCAGATACCTGTGATAGAGGGAAAAGGAGGGGGAGGAGGGAAGGGAAAGGTAGGAGGAGGAGAAGCACAAAGGGTTTAAAGCCTCATTGGAGGTCACCCAGACCTTCGTTGGCCTTTACGCTCGGGCCCCCAAGCGTATAGCGCGGATATATCCCATACACACGAAAAAAAATTGGGCTGTCAAGTAAAAAGAGAACGCAAATGTAATAATGACACGGGTTTCCCGCTAAGCGTTTCGCTGAACTAGAAATGCAAATCGGCTGTCTAGCACGTGGTCGAAATGTGGCTTCGAAGTTTTCTGCTGACAAAGTAACAACTGTATCGCATTGAATCCCACTCCATCTACCAGCTCCAACCCGTCAAAACGCGGTCTCAGCAATTCTCGCGCTACTTACCAGCCAGCCCAACCCTAAAGTCGTCATTTCTTGCTTTCAATCCCGCTTTCCTCAAGTTCCCACAATCCACTAGCACCGATGTCTGCTCCACCTGCTTCGCCACCCGCCGTAGGGACCTTAGGTTACGCGAAGGCAGGACGTAGTCAGAAAAGGGACCACCTTCATCCCGCATTTCCCCTGGGAGAAATGTCCCCCCCTTCCCGGGAAAACGTTTTCTCTGCCCGGACATGCGAACTTCAGGCCGCGTATAATACGTTAAACGCGTAACTTCCGACATAGGCCCAGACTCACTCTATTTTCTGAAGCTTTTTGTGGTTTTCTGGACACTTTCTAGAAGGGAGATCGTCGGCGACCAAATTTGTGCCAATTCCTTTGCGCGATGAAGCCTTCAGTCAAATCCCCGATACAAAGACGCACCTTGAGCGACTTATCGGGGCAGCCCGCGAGCGCCTGCAAGAGCGTTGACTTGCCGGCGCCTGGCGGCCCCAGCAGCAGCGTCATGCGGCCCGGCCGCAGCACGCCCGAGCACCCGTGCAGGATCGGATACGGGCGGCGCGCATCCAACTCCACGCCCAGTGAGTGCAGCGCGGCCTGAGGAGGAACCGGGGGGGGGAGGGTTGGGGAGGGTGGGGGGTGGGTGAGGGGGAAGAGGAAGATCCAAGGCGAAGAAGGATGATTAAAACGAAAGAGCGACAGTGGGGGACCAGGGAGTGAAGTGCGGATGCGCGCAGGCGATCGGGAAATACGAGAGAGGCGGCTCACGGCGAGCGCGACTCACGGCGAGTGCGATTCACGGCGCGCGAATGCGTTTCGCGGCGAGCGAGACTCACGGCGAGCGAGTTGCGCGTGAAGTTGAGGAGCGTGGGCAGCGCGCGCGTGCCGACATACACGCCCGCCTCGACATGCACGTCCTCGAAGCGCACCTCCACCGCCGGCACGCTCAGCCCCACGCTGCTCGCCATTGGATGACATTCCGCGGCGCAGGTTTAGGAGGAGGGAGGGATGAGAGCGGAAAGGATGCGAAGGGGGAGGAGAGGAAGGAGGGAAGGTTAGACTACGCACAGCAAAGCGCATTCAAAACCGCATCCCGTACTTTCTCTGAAACAGTAACGTTGATCACACCTTACATTCCCCTCATGACATCTCGATGCAACCCGTCAACGCAATTTCTCACAGCAACTTCTCTCAAGAAAGGAGCCATGCGGCTCGGCTCCAGGCTTTCCCAGCGATCTCCCGACTGTCTTCCAACGTCTCGCCGCCCGCGGTTCCGCGGCGGCGATGCTCAGCCGGCCTCGTAGAGAACCTCACCGGTCGAGGCGGGCTTTAAGCTTCGTAAGGAACGCCTCGTTGTCCTGATCGAGCGTCTCCAGCGCGCGCTCCACCAGCCGCTCCCGCTGCGCGTGGCTCAGCGCGCGCAGGTCCACTTGCGCCAGCTCCGCCGCCGCCCCCTTCTTTCCGCCGTCCGTCGCCGCGCCACCGCCCTGCAGGCTTCCGCTTTTGGGAAGCACCGCCGTGTGCAGGCGGTCGGACGGGGGGAGCTGCTGCAGCTGCGCCCATGCTGCGGGGTTTGCCGCCGCTGGATCTTGTTTGCCTGCGACGAGTGCAATGGGATAGGACCGGATGGAAACGATAAATGAATATTACGACAGTTAGCGATAGTTGTATTCTCTCGCGATCCAGTTGGACGCTAGCGTGCGTCGTATCACATTCAGATGGGTTGATGCAATACTTGCAGATACATAAGTTTTAGTAGGGGAAGTATGGCCGAATATTTCAACCACCGTTTTTATTCCACTTCTTGGCACCCCACACACAGCACCTGCGAGACAAAAAAAATGTGACAGTGCACCCATTTTAGAGACTTCACACGATGTAGTATTTTGGTTGGCCTTCAATTTTACTATGGTGGCTTGCAACGACGGAACGAGACTTACTGATGGGAATATCGCCTGGCATGACGACCGCCAACTGTTGGGTGTTACAGTGACAGCAGGGAAAATTGCGGCCACCAATTCGCGGGCCCCGTGGGAATACTCAGATCAGACAGAAGTCACAACAAAGCAAGCTGGAGCAGTGCTGAAAGAGGGGAGGGACGGAGGGGTGACCAGTGCACTTCGCAGCAAGCGAAGGGACTGAACTGATGGCTGGCTGGCTGCTTGGATTGTGTTGGGGCGTGCGCAACGATCCAAATGGCGTATCAAGAGTCAAGACGCACGGAGCCGTTGGATGGACGACACTCGATCTTGTCACTTCAGCACTTCGATGAGGCATCCGATGTGGCACCTCATCTGTGGTGTTAGATTCTTGACCGCCTGCGATGTTGTTGCCGTGTGGTGTGTGAATTTTTGGCCTGATCTTGGTGACAAACGAGACCCAGATCGCGCCGCGCGGGATAGAACATGCGGTGAATTCGAGTTCTTGACAGTTCGCGCTTCCTTTTGGTAATTCGCTTGCGGTCAATGTCATCCTCGATGCACGTTACCTTGACAACATGTACAGGAACTCCCTTGTTTGAGCCGTGTATAGGACCCCCAGGACCTCTTGGCGGGGGGAGGGTCCTACGTATGGGAGAATACGTTATGCAACTAATAGGTAAGGTAACAGGGGACGTGTGTGACACTGTAATTCTGCGAGCAGAGTTTCGGTTATTCACAGATCTATTCCTTTGACAAGAGAAGACATGAGAAGTTCTTTGTAAGGCAAATGCACTAGATGATGCCAGTGCACCAACCACAGCAGCGAAGTTGTCGCCAAAATGGGTTTTATTTCAGTGAACATAAAAAAAGGCAAGGAAGCATTAGGAAAAAAAACACATCACGGAGCTATGAAAACACACGCCAGAACAAACTCACTGAACAAACCCTGCTAAAAACATGCCATGCTAACTCCTGCACCCACCCTGCATTCCTCGACCCCCTACCGCCAATCCCTCTCCCCTGTACATCCTCTCCTGCAGATAATTGCACAGACACTGATTGAACAGCACCACACCGACTCTGCACCCACCCTGCTTTCCTCAACTCCCTTCCGCCAATCCTTCCCTAACCCCTGTACACCCTCTCATGCAACCAACCGCTTCATACACTATCATCCCACGCACACTACATGTTTGATGGAACAGCACCCAGTGCTTACTCCTGCCAACTACGCACCCACCCATGCTTCGGCCTCGCCTCACCTTTCTACCAACCGCCTCCACCCCTCTTCTCCTACTCACTCCCACTCCCCCCCCTCATCCTAGTCATCATCCTGGTCGCTCCCGTTGCGCAGGCACTGCCCCAGAGGCACGCGCCTGCCGGGCCTGCCCATGCGCCCCATGCCCAGCGCGCAGTTCACTCCGTGCACCGCCCCCCCCGTGCACCGGAAGGCATCGGGGCGCGTCACGGCTGCTGCCTGCCCCCACCCCCTGCCCACTCGCAGCACCAGCGCCGCGCTGCCCTGGCTCGCCTTCACCAGCCGCCCTGACCCCGCCCCCGCCGCACAGGCGAACTGCGGGCGCGAGAGAGGGGTTCGGGGGGAGAAGGATTGGGGAGAGAGTGAGGGCGAGGCATGGAGAGAGAGGGAGGGCGAGGGGTGAGAGGTGAGGGAGGGCAGGGGGTGGGGAGAGAAGGAGGCATAGGCGTGGGAGAGAGGGGGAGGGCGGCGGTGGGAGTCGGAAATTAAATGCAGGGGAAGGTAGCACAGAAATGCTTGCTTCTGACCTTGTAGTTCTTGCCGCGCGCCTGCGTGCGGGAGTAGGGGCGGGCGCCCTTGACGACGTGCAGCAGCAGCTGCTCCCTCAGCATCAGCGGGTCCCCTCGCACTGAAGGGGGCAGCTGCCCCATGGGCGCGTCGGGGATGGCCAGCACCGTCACCCCGTTCCCCTGCCCGCACATCACCTCCGGGAACTCCGCCGCCAGGCCTGGTGGGATGGTGGGGCACACGGGGATGGCAGGAGGTGGCAGATGGGATGGCGGGTGAGACGGGGAGAGGGAGAGGGAGAGGGAGAGGGAGAGGGAGAGGGAGAGGGAGAGGGATAGGGAGAGGGAGAGGGAGAGGGAGCGGGAGAGGGAGAGGGAGAGGGAGAGGGAGAGGGTGAGGGAGAGGGATCAGAAAAGGGAAAACGATAGCGGCTGGACAGGGACAGCGCCAGCAGGGGCGCACAGCGCACCTGTATGCTGCAGCGCCGCCGCGAACTTGTTGAATCCGCTCTTTCTCAATCCGCTCATCAGCTTCCCCGCCTGCTTCGCCCCGTCACACGCCTGCACGTCCACGTCAGCTGCCGCCACGTCAGCAGCCGCCACCGCATTTGCGCTCGCCATCACCGCGTTCTTCCGCCCGCTGCCGTCGCAACTCGCGCTGCCGCTCTTGTTGCACGTCCCCGTGCCTCTCTTCCCCTGATTCCCCCTCCCAGCGCCATTGCCGCCGCGACCACCGGGGTTGCCGCCGTTCTTGTTGCCGGTGCACGTGCCGGATTTGGCGCACGAGCCGTCGCGCTTCCTGTCGCGGTCCTGGTTGCCCGTGCCGTCCCGCTTGCGATCCTGATTGTCGGCAACCGCGAGGCCCACGAGGAGCATTGCGAGGACGGCTATAATGAGGATGCTCTTCGATGCCATGGCTGTTCACGTCGGTTCAAGCGGTACAGGGAACACCGAGAAACTCGAATGATTGAGTACGAAATGGAAGCTTTGGAAATCTGAAGGGACTGGAAGTTCTGCTCCGCTTGAAATCATATCTGCTGATCCCAAATCCGTCATGACTTTTGTAGGCATGCGTTCAAGGGCGGGATTTACAATCGGACCGCGGAAGGAATGAACAGGACACGAGACGGATTGGCACAGACTTGTCGCCCTCGAGGCGCAGGCGGAGCGGGTCCAGCACACGACAACGCTTCAGGCGAAATGAGAGAGCGACTAACGGCGGTTAATTAAGCAGCGGAAGGAAGTCGCCTGCGAAAATACTCCTAGACCAGCACACTTCACGGGAATAGCGACTGACAGAGGGGCGTGAGGAGTGATTCGACTGTCGGAAAAGGAAGGTGAAGGCGAAATGGCGGGCTGGATGGTGCTTGGAGGGCTTGGAAACAGAAACACCGAAACGCGCATGGAAGGAGCCCATGAAGCATGTAAGGATTTAGACACTCTTTAGCGAGACCCCCAGGGCCACGCGACCAACTGGTTTGGCCTACAATTTAGCACCCAAGCCTCACCGAGCCGCCTCCGCACCAATCGCGACCCTTCGCGAGCCAAACCTTTCCCCACCTCCCCGCCTAGGTAGGTTTTCCCTTATTAAGGCTTCGCTACTTTCATTGTATCGTCATTCAGTAGTCAATCATTCTCGTTATTCGTTTCGTGTGCTCTGCAGGTTTATTCATAACACCTGGTATCAGAGCGACTTTCCTAGCCTACCCCGCTTTTTAGAGTGTAATACCCGTCGGGGGGGGGGGACGAGGAAGGATGTCTTGGGGTCCAGGAGTTGCGTAGGCCGGCCAGGAGAACGAGTTAGTTGCTCCTCGCGGCCATAGATTTACGGGGCACTCCTTTGGCACCGCCAGATCCTTACCTCGAACGGTCGCGATCGACCGTGACCTCCCTCCCCCCGGCCAACGGGCAGCAGTAGCTGTCGCGACATTGAACGTGAGTTACTATTCCACTGCGGTTTTAACGACGATTTCGAAACTTTGTGAGGAAGTTGGTGTCAGCGGACCTGCGTTGGCACCTGCACGAAATTTGCGGAAGTCGTCATCGTGTGTGGCAGTTGATGCCGTTGGACCTGGGTCAATAGTTGCGCGACAATTTCAGAGTCGTCCCATGCGGCAAGTGACAACGATGGCCCGTCGTAATCTTGCGGAGATAACTACTACAACGGGAACTAGACTACAGGCTAGGCACGGGTGCTTGTGTGATCTCTGCGTTCGTTCACTTAGGCATTTACTCGTGCTTGCACTACTTGCTGGTTCACGGGGAAAGTTGGCA